CATATACATGTACTGCATGCATATGATAGATTCTTTTTCTTTTTTCTTTAACCGTTTTTAAAGAGAGAAGGAAAAGGGGCAAAAGGATACACCGTATGTATACATTTGTATATGTCTGTCTACATATATATTTATATATTTATTTATTACAAAATGGCTTGACTCTGCTCCCAGGAACTTATAAATAGCCTGAGTTTTTCAGGATGCGATTTAGTTTTTTTTTTTTTTTTTTTTACATGGAGACTGTTTGTCCTTGTTATTGCCTGACGTGCGCTTTTTTAAAATGACATCTATGCGTATACATTTGTGTTTGTTGTTTGTTTTTTCTTTTTTCTTTTGATGTAGTCACTGGGCTTAGCGTGTGACACTTTTCTCTGGTGCAGGCCAGCAACAATTAAATATATATATATATATATATTACTTTGGTTTATTTTGGTGATTGCGACGGATGGCAACGAGAGTTGAACTGCGCGGCATTTCTGTTGTGGGCAGTAATCCCGCGCCTTTTAGCGATCCCATTGTACTGAAAGTCTTATTGGAGGTATTTGAGAAACCGCCTGTCCAAGCAATAGATGTTAAGTTCACCTGGAAGTTGATTTGGGACTTTCCGGTGGATCAGGAACTTGACGAGTTTGAGGTTGGGCCACTCACTACGCTCGGGGTGCATGAACTGACGCTTCAAAGCGACCCTCCGGACTTCTCAAAGATTCCCGATCCGACTGGACCAACCGCCTTGATCATCTCCTTCACGTACGAGGGAAGGGAGTTCCTTCATATCGGCTACAATGCCGTGGTGACCTGCGAGGGTGAGATGCCCGATGTGTTTGAGAGTGCGGAGCAATTGAGGCGCCATCTCACACAGTGTTTTCCAAAGCAACTGTCTATTGTGTGGGATGAGAGACCCGCAGATGCCGTGGAGGATCCCAGCGATGACGACAGCAGGAGCTGCGACGTCGATAAGGCTGAGGAATGTGCGGGTGAGGGGGATATGGACGGCGAGCGCGCCTCTGACAGTGGGGACGGGGCACCGCCACTCAAGAGGGTTAAAACGTAATTAAATATGATGGGAGGGACGCGTGACGGTTGGGAAGCAGAACGTCCTTTTGAATCCTTTTGAAGTTTACACACACACAAACACACACAAACAAACAAATAATTAAAAATGGGAGTCAATATTTGTTGTCCTTCCTTCCTTCTTTTTTTTTTTTTTTTTTTATTGGCCGCCCCGCATGTGCACACATGAATCCCTTGCCTCTGTTTTTTCTTACATCTTTTTTCCCTTTTTTTTTTTTTTTTCTTTTTCTTTTGCAGGCAGAATTCTGCCGCCATGTTGATGGTCATTGGGCCGGATGATGCTTCATTGTTTGAGTGCGCAAAGTCGGTGGACGGCGAGAGTACGCACCTGTCGCGGCAGTTGATGCTGTACGCCTCGCTAGATCTCTTGGATGACGTTCTCTGGAAAACAGGGGACTTCCTCCTTCCTGCGATTGACCGGCCATTAGAAGGAAAGTACTACGTTTCTGCGTACGTAGGCTTTGCACCTATCAAACTGCTTCTCATGCAAGAGCAGGAGCCTAACAAAAACACCCGCCAGTTTATGAATGAAGTCTACGGACTCTGCGTGCGATATCTTTTGAATCCCTTTTCGTTCCCAAACACCCCTGTTCGATCTACACTGGGGGAGAAGGTGCGTCGGCTATATGAGCGCCACTCTTAGGGGGCAGCAGGGAGCAATTGTGGGCACAAATTCCTTTTTTTTTTTTTTTTCTCTTCTTCTGTTTGATGTTTCTTCTGAGGAACATACACGGATTGAAGAACTCTTTTTCGTAGAAGTTGTTGCAATTTGCTCCGTCATTGCCTGACTTAATTTACTCATATATATATCTTCTCTTTCTTTTTTTTTTTTTTTTTTCTTTTCTTTCCTTGTCGGCTTTGGGGAACAACACGGGGCCAAAGAGGCCCATTCAAGCAAAGAAATAAAAAAAGAAAGAGATAAGACGGGGGAGCGAAGAAATGTCATTTAAACCAAAGATTATTGTCTGCAGCTCACCAGCGGAGTTGAGTGGTGTAGCATGCAAAAAAATTGTTGACATCATTCATGCATCAGAACGCACGAATTGGCCGCTCTCCATTGCTCTCTCCGGCGGCTCCACACCCAAGATGCTTTACTCCCGTCTGCACGAGGAGCATTTGCATCTGCTGAAGGAGGAGCGGGCGTTGCGTTTCTTTTTTGGCGATGAGCGGCTGGTGCCCGCCGATGCCGCGGAGTCGAACTACAACATGGCAAGGCAGGCGCTTCTGCACGACATCCCCGAAGATTTAGTGGTGCCTGTTGACGTGGGATGCGTGGGGGAGGTATCGAATGTTGCCTGCAACGACGCCGTGAAGGCTGCAGACGCGTACGAGAAAAGGATCGATTTGCTTCTTGGCACTCAAAAAGTGGAGGGGATGGAGGCAGAGATCCCTGTCTTTGACATCGTCCTGCTTGGCTTGGGCTCCGATGGACACACCGCCTCGATATTCCACGGATCTCAGGCCGAGAGCGAAATGCACCGGGCCGTAAGTGTGGGGTTCCCCAGCCCAACAATGAGCCCAAAGGTCTGGAGAGTGACATTGACGCCCATCACTATCATTCACGCACGACATGTGATTCTTCTCGCAACAGGCAAAGAAAAGAAATGTGTTCTGAACGGCATCATAGCAGACACCCCCACGGAGGTACCCGTTTCACGGTTTCTTCGCAATTGCAAGGGTGATGTGACGTTCATACTGGACAGAGAGATAGCAGAGAATCTTACATGTTAACACCTCTTCTTACAAAAAGGAATACATATGCATCTATACTGTAATATGTACATATATATTTCCTCACAACTAGTATCTGAGGAACCGCCTTGTTTTGCGGTTGTTTTTCCTTACGCCCGTGTTTACTTTTTTGTTTTCTTTGGCGTGTGGGTGGACGGGTGAATGTGGGGATATAAAAATGCATCAAACTTCTAGCTTCCATTTAGCCAGTTTTATTTTATTTTATTTTATTTATTTGTTTTTTTTCTTTATTTCCGTATTTGGAGTTTCTTCTTATATGGGAGAGGGAGAGCGAGTGGCGTAGCTGTTTATTTTGTCCTACCTCCACCCATTGGGAACTGAGGCTTATTTATTTATTTATTTATTTATTTATTATTTTTCCTTTTTTTTTTTTTTTTTTTTAACCCTTGTTGTTATTTTTCCATATGTAAAACCATAAATGATTTCCTCTGAATGGAGAAGACTGGGCTTACTTGTGAGTGCCGACAGCGAGGGCGTGAGGGCAAAAGGGAAATGTCGATTGTCGGGTCTTTCATGGCATGTATGCAGGTAGAAATGCTTCCGGATACAGCAAGGAATCTTCTCTCTTGCATACATATATATATATATATATATACGTGTGTGTGTGTGTGTGTGTGCCAGTGAACACTTATTGCTGGTAGGTAGTGACGCTTGTCAGTTTTACATTGGGAGAAGCACATCATGTCATGCCGAGCGTGGGAGGGAAGTTGAGAATTGAGAGGAAGACGTCAATGCTTTTACACCGCCTTCTGTTTGTTTTTTATCCCGTCAGGCTGCCATGCATAAGGAAGGAAATGCGAGGCGTTTGTGTATCCGTTGCTGCCTCCCCTTTTTGCCCCTCATACACAGACTGACTAGCACCACTACTGCCACTACCAGCAGTTAACCAATGCTGTATCGATGCCCCGTGGCACCCAAATGAGGAGGAATTTCGCTATTGCGTTCTCCACCTGACGCTGATGCAGGACGATGATTTTGGATACATACACCCAGATTATGAATGGCATACTAATGATGGTATCGGTGCCCTGTGAGTCTGGTGAAGGAAATACGGTGCTGCGATGTGGGACAAGGGGGAAAGAGAGGATGGCGTTTCTGCTTCATTCTCCACTGCTTCGGTGGGGGTTCCTGTCGCTGTTGCTGTTCCTTGTTGCCGCACTGTTACTCCGCCGTGCCGTGGCCAACAGCAATGTATTCCCTCCATTGGCGATGGGAAGAGATGGAATTGGCCACGCCGGAAGCTTTCACGGATAACGGCTTTCTTTCTGGTGTGTCGTGCGGAATTCATTTCTAGATTGGGGCTTTTGCTTGGGAACATTGACTGCTGTGCTGAAGTGCACAATGCACGTGCAGGGAGTGGGTTGGATCAATGTTGTTTGCACCTGTTATTTGTGAAATATGAGGAGGGACGGCAACTGTAGTCACGGAGTTTTCTTTGCTGGGGATTCCTTTTCGTATATTCCTGCAGCAATCAACATGACCGGGGGTCCCAAGGGCGTTGGAGAGGCCCAAAAAACCATCGTTTTTTCACTTTTTTTATTTTGTTGATGGTTGACAGGCATCATGGCTGGGGGACTCGGTGCATGAGACTCCTTCTGACCCTACCCTGCTGGCGCAAACCGGCGTGGACAGTCCGTTAATCATGAATAAGCGCATTGCAAGTAACGGAGAGAGCAAAATGACTAGGTCAACACGGATTTCTCGGCGTGGCCACCGGCATTTGTGCTTGAGGGGGATGGGGGGTGGCGAGGCGCATGCTTTCCCGTGTTGCCAATGACCTCCTGACTTGAGAGAGGCATGAGGAGCCCAGCAGAAGTGTCTGTTGTCATGAGCATCAGCGTGTGACATCAACAGGAACGGAGTGACTGTTGATCACATGACTGTCTGATTTGTCGCTGCGAACACGAAGTATGAGAAACGGGCTTGCCAAATGACACAACAGATGGGGAACCTGACGGACGCTAAAAGTCTGACAGGAAGAGCATCCAGGCAACATCTGGAAAAAGTAAAAAAGGAGCGATTTTCTGACAAGTTCGCTGGTGTTGTATGTGGAGTTGTTGTTTTTGTCCGCATGACTCTTGTTTTCCACGTGCTTTGCGTGGGCAACGGAAGCAGAAGGCACGGACTGATGGTGCGAGTTCTTCTTTGTCTCCTGTCGGTGTCTGGAACAGTGAATGCGACGGTGGATCCATCCACGCACTTTTCAGTAGCCGCGGCTGTTGTCTCTGCCACGCCTGCGGCTGCTGCTCTTGCACAGCCTGACGTTGCTTTGCGGGATGGTGAGGCTTCGTTGTTGTACGGCAGGACAAAAGTGGGCGAGACTCCGCCAGAAGCACTTGGAACCTCAGGTGGTCATATTTACGAATATCAGAGACGTGTGTGCACCTCCATGTTTATATCTCGCGTTTTCGCCTTCTGTACACGGCCGTGGAGAATGAAGTTGTTGTTGTTTTCTTTGTTTGCAGCACTTGGGATTCCGTTCGCTTCTACTTTCTGTTGATTGATGCCGTTTTCCGGAGAGCGTCTTCCCCCGTGCGTGAAAGTCAGCGTCTCTGCTTCTGTGTGCGCTCTCACAGTGCTTGAGCCGTCTTGGAAGGTGAGAATAATGACTGCAGTGGCTACGAAGACGTTGATGTGCTGTACTGTGGATGCGTGACGCCAACCAATCTTCTGCCACGTCCTGTTTTGGCGCTTGTTTTTCAATTTGATTCCTTGCACAAACCCACATACACATATTTATATGCTCTCACGTGTTGCTGCTGTAATGGCACCCCGCACACACAACCGTCGCCGCGTGACCGGATCCAGCGGAAGGAGGAGGGAAGGAAGAGAGAGTGAGCCGCAGAGGCTCAACATGTCCCGGCATGTGTTTACTTTTGCGGTGCCGCTACCCGTCGTCGTGATGGTGTGCTGTGAAGTTGGAGGTGCACGCGCTGCGGAGGGTAATGTAAGGGATACAGTTGTTGCGTTGATGGGGATTAAAAAGGAACAGCTTGACAAATGGAAGGATGTTTCTAACGCTGGTGGCAAATATGGCTCGCTTCGTGGTCCCAGCCTCGTTGAGATGCAGGGTCATGTATTTGCTATTTCTGAGGCCGATTGCAGGGATGGAGGCAACTGCAGCGACGCCAGCTTTACTGGGGTTGCGTCAAAGTACCTTGGTTTAGGTGGTGTTGCTGGTCCAACGGAGATCTC